TTATGCAGCCTTACCTACATGGCGACCCAACAGTCATGGTCTGTGCTACATGACCTTAAACTGCACAGCCATGGTCTAGGTGCATGACCCTAAATTGCATGATCCAAACTATACAACCTAAAACTATAGCGGCGGTCTAGTTGCATGACTTTAAACTACATAGTCCAAGCTGCAGGACTTTAAACCACATAGCCATGATCAAGCTATATAACCTTAAACTATAGTATACATCCTAGTCGCATGACGTTAAAAGGCTCACTAGCATGGTCCAAACTATATGACCTTAAAATATAGCGGAGGTCTAGTTGCACGACCTTAAACTGCATGGTCCTAGTTGCATGACTTTAAACTACATAGCCATGGTCTAAGCTACATGATCTTAAACTTGCAAGTCTTGACCGCATGACGTTAAACTGATTTGCACAAGTCCAGGAGGCATAACCTTAAATACGCCCCACACACATGCACATGCCCTTTACGTGTACCTTCACGCATGCTTTCCCTAACTGACCCGTTCGTGTGTGCACACCACCTCCATTACTTCCCCAGTGAATCCATCTTCATTCACTATCATCTATCATTTCCCAGTGAGTCTTACCTATACTCACGGTCAGCTGGTGGGTTACCATTTTCCACCTTCCATCCATATACCATCCATCTGTCGTAGGAAGCACTCATGCCATCTCCCCAAAGTGAGTCAAACCATCGTCATACTCACTCCATCGCTTCCATAGACTGTCATCCATCACCACCAAGGTCCAGCTGTATGACCTTAAACCATAGTGCACGTCTTGACCGCATGACGTTAAACTGCTTAGCACAGGTCTCAAAGGCATGACCCTAAACACGCCTTCACAAAAAAAATGAAAATAAAATAACGGGCATGGTGTAAACCTGAACAAGGGAACGCCATGGTAAAAATGACGAACGGGCATGGTCACAAAACCATGAGTAAGAGAGTTCCATGCAAATAAAAACCCAGGCACGGTGAAAACTTGAAAAGGCACCGTGAGTAAAAACGGATGAAAAGGGTGAACATGGCCTAAAGGCCATGGGTAAATTGGTGAAAACCGTCTCTACGGCGCTGCTTCCCAAATCCAAGTGAAAATTCGTGAAGGACGCTTGGACCAATAAGTAGGTTGATGCGCATAGGTGTCATTCAAAAGAAAAATCCCTGGTGTCATAATACCAGGACCTATAAATACAAGCTTCAAGGAAAAGATTCCAACAACCAGAGTCTATTTATAAAAACGACTCGAAGGATAAAAGATTTGCCAAGAAAGCAAGACTAGTGTCATGAAGAAGAGCATCATTCCTGAGTGTCACCAACACACTTCTAATGTTGAAGACACCCTAGGAAAGCTAAGTCAGTCATGACTTTGGTGCGAAAATCAGGATCAAAGCTATCTTGATTGTCGAAACTGCACAGCTTGCGGGTAGGGGTTATACCCAAAGCTATTCACCTCGAAAAACTGACGTACCCTACTCACCAAGGAATAACTGGTGCACAAAGCAGACGGCACCGACAAAAGGCCCTTCAGCACACCATTCACAAAATCCTTGCAGCGGGGCCGAACACCAGAGGATACGAACAAACCCAGAAAAAATGGGAGCAATGCCCTTCGACATGGCACTCAAATGCCAGATGGGCCTGATTCTGACCAATGAGGTCCGTACAAAATCCTCAGCTGTCAGAATCATAACTAGTCCCTAAAGGGTGAGGACTTCGACAGGATCCTTCAAAAAAGTCTCTTCTCCCCTTAAAGTCTCCACGGACGGACCTGCGAACAATGCATCCCTACGTCCAAGCATCCTAGCTGTAGCATTCCGTGAATCTCCTCGACATTCACGTGGTCCTACGGTTAGGAAGAAAAAAGTAATAAATCTGAAGAAAAATTTTCCAAATGTTGTCCTTCTCTCTTCTCTCGAAGAAGAACATTCGGTAGGGCAAGTTGTTTGAACACATTTTTCAGCACCTTGGTCCTTGATGCGGAATAAAGAGGAAGTCAGTCAATAAAGCCTAACAAACTAGTGGAATTCTCGAGTCTCATAATTGCCCCAAAATAGGTCAAGATCTTCATGAGCTCTCCAAAAGGCCACCTATCAAGTTTCGTCGCAATCCGACATGTCTAAGGCAGTAACCACAAAGAAACAATTTCGAAAAATTGGCCTCTAGCACCTTGAAATAGACCCTTATAACTGGAACTATATTTTCGGTGCGTCAAACAGCTGTGGAACTATCGACATTGGATCCGACACGGTCGAAAACCCCTACGGATCAAGTTTTGGCATAATCACACACTCCAAGACAAAGTTATAAACAAAAGATTGAACAGAAGGAGCCGCACACTATTTTCGTGTGGCCACCCTGCACTAAAACACCATTAGAGGTGGTTGTTTTCACAGTCACGGGTAGTGACTTTCGAGACCCATATCTCACTTGTCCAGAGTCGGATCATGCTCAAATTTTTTGAGCTTGTTCGTCTCGTCAAGACAAGAGTTTCGATATGTGGTATGCCCCGTGACAACATCCGAGCATGGAGAAAAGCTAAAGATAGGCAATCGATTCGTGAAGAAAGTTACAGAAAATTCAGCAGCGACACGTCTCACTCAAGTGGCCAAATCACGACGTTCGCACCTAGGATCGACGTGAAACTAACCCTATTGTGTACGTAAGGTCCCGGGCTATCTCTGTTCCAAACTCTGTACTTGATGAACGGTCGGATTTTACACACAAAGGTGACAAAGTGACTGTAATTTCGACAGCCGAATTTTCAGATATCGTTCAAAACTCCAAAGTTGTGAAATCTTCGTTCTAGCACTAAATCGAGCTGCGTTTGTTGCCACGCAATCATGACGGCATGCTCAGTGCACTACGATGAATAAATCACTAAAAAAAAATCAAGGAACGATTGCACTATCGTTCCGAAGTTTTCAAGATTCATCCAAATTTCAAGTCTCATGATCGTGGCTTAAAAGCACGATCCATGGCTCAATTTGGTATCAAAACGATCGTCATGCCATGCCCTACAATAAAACAATCATCTTTCGATCAAAAAAGCATCAGAGCAACCCGAGATCAGTCATGGAAGATCACGCAAGTTCTAGGCAGCAGCAGAGACTGTTTTGGAATTCCATGAATTGTTAAGCAGGGGCAAAACAGTCCTTTTACACTCTATTTTTAAAAAAAAATTTAATTCAGAATAATTGTAATTATCATCAATTTAGCTAGTTTTTGGGCATCCACCCATGTTTGAGCCCAATTCTATATAAACATGCTAAACTTAATTGTAAAGGACCTTCGATCATTCAATAGAATTTCAATTCTTTTTGCTTAAGTTCATGGGTGTGTCTTCGAGGGAGAGAGAGGAGAGAGAAGAATGGGTCGATACCTTTTGGAAAGGTAATTTTATCTCTCCTCTTTTTTCTCTAATCTTTATCTCTCTCCTCTTTTCTCTCTCATATCTCTCTCTCTTTCTCTCTCTTCCTTTCTCTTTCTCTCTCTTCTTTTCTTTCTTCCTCTTTTATCTCTCATCTATCTCTCCCTTGACCTCTCTATTTCTACCATCATCAACCCCTTTCTCTCTCTTCCTCCTTTGGTCTATCACTTCCCTCTTTTCCTGCTCTTCTTTCTTTTCTTCCTTCAGCCATGGCGGAACTCTTGTCTGGTGTGATGTCTTCCTGCTCTTGAGACATGAAATGGTTAGCCAGACCTTAGCCCCAGTGGTGGGCCGAGCCTTGGTCAAAATTCTCTTTTCTCTTTTGCCACAGTCGACAAAAGGTTATCGTTATTTGTATTCTTTTTCTCTCTCATTTCTCTTATGTCACAGCCAGCGGGGCCTATCGTCGCCTGCGTCTTCTCTTTCTTTTCCTTCTGTCACAGCTGGTGAGGCCTATCGCCGCCTGTGTCTTCTCTTTCTTTTCCTTCTGTCACAGTCGGCGAGGCCTATCGCCACCTGTGTCTTCTCCTTCTGTCACAGCCAGTGAAGGCTATCGCCACTTGTGTTCTCTCTCTCTCTTTTCTCTTATGTCACTGCCACGGAGGCTTAGCGCCGCATGTGTCTTCTCTTTCTTCTTCTTTCACCACAGACGGCAAAGGCATAGCACCGCCTATGTTTTCCCTTTCTTCTTCTTTCACCACAGACGGTGAAGGCGTAGCGCCGCCTGTGTCTTCTCTTTCTTCTTCCTTCACAACCGCCAGCGAAGGCGTAGCGCTTCTTGTGTCTTCTCTTTCTTTTTCTTTCACCACAACCGGCAAAGGCATAGCGTCGTCTGTGTCTTGTCTTTCTTCTTCTTTTAACACAGCCAGCGAAGGCTCATCGCCGCCCATGTCGTCTCTCCCCTTCTTTTTGTCACAGTCGGTGGAAATGCATTGCCGCCTGTGTCTTTTATTTCATCTCCCTACTCGTCACAGCGACGCCTGAGTTTCTCCCTCCTCATCCCATTGCCGTTTGGGTCTTCTTTCCTCTTCTTACTCTCTCTTACTTCTTCCCTTTTGCTTTTCCCTCTTGTTTTTCTCCTCTCTTTCTTTTTCCTCTACCCTCTCTCACGTTCTTCTTCTTCTTTTTTCCTCTTTCTTCCTTATCTTCTCCACTTCTTTTCTTCTCTCACTGTCTTCTCTCTCACCTCGCTCTTTCTCTTCTCTTCTTTATTTTCTCCTTTCTCTCACTCTTTTTGTTCTCTTTTCTTTCTCTTACTCTTTCGTTTGACCAAGAGGGATTGGGGCTAACCATTGCGTTTAGCTAGTCAGTATTGATACTGTCGTCTAGTGGTAATTATGTTGAGCCGGTTTGAGTCACAGATCTCGTTTTACTGTCATGCCAGGTCAATTACCTATTAGTTTAGTCACTATGTTGGTCTCTATGCTCAGTTAAATTCTTCTCACCTCAATCGTTCTTCTCTTATTCTTCCATTTTCTTTTTGAATGTGCACGCCCGTGTACATTCACCCAAAGGCGACCCACTTGTCTTGTAACATTTGCCATATGTGTGTGATTGCAGTAACAGGAGAATACAGACCAAGGGAGATGATTCCGAACCAGTTCTACGACTGGGGGGCTTTCTTCGTGATCAAAGAGGGCGCCCATGTGAACCATCCCGAGTAAGTCCCGAACCCACCTTAAATTTTTCTATCATCGGTTGGTCTACCTACCTTTGTTTTTTAGCAAGGTTCTCGAAAGAGCGATATCAAGTCCCTGGTTCTCCTGAAACCCGAGATACGTGCCGTTATATCATCTAGATCAGGAGGGCGAGATCGAGGCACCTAACCAAGGATCTTTCTTTTTAGGGAAATTATCAGCAATATATATTAATTTTCGGCTTATTAGAAAAAAGCCCCATAATTTCGTTAACCTTGTCCATACCCTTTTTTCTTATTTTTTACGCTTTTTTTTTTTATCAAAATAGCCTTCATGGTACTCGTATTACCGTAAAGGCCTTATGCATCACGTTACTTAAAGTGCCATGATGACTTTCAAAGGTTATACGGCACTTAAAATTCCATGACGACTTGAAGGTGTATATAACATATTAGTCGGTGGAGGACACCCACATCCTCTCTCCTTGTGACCATCACGGTCTTTCGAGCACCATGATGCACCTCTTTGTGTGCTGGTGCTCTGTTCTGTTTTTGCCAAGCTTCTTCTCGGGTGGGGTTGGTGGAAGATTTGGGGTGGGCCTGATGTTCTCTTTGTCAAAGGAGAGGTGAGAGATCATTTCTTCTTCCTTCAAGGTCATGTAAAAAGTCAGAGATGTCTATGGTTTCAAAATCTGTTGAAGATGGGTTTTTGGATTTCGAAAAAGTCAGACATTTCTTCTTCACACAATTGGTGGGGATTGCAGGTGGGTTTGGATTTCTTGAACTTCACACAATGGGGGGGCATTGCAAGATGGGAGGTTTGTGGGAGGGATCATCAAAGATTTCAGTTTCTTGTTGATGTACCTCAACCCCTTCATTCCCTTCTTATCAATCAGTGGGTGTAATTCTAAAAATTGTGCCTAGAATATAATGATTTCCGACTCTGTGTGTGCTTGCGCAACAATGGAAGTGGCAACAACGTAAGGAAAGGGCAAGAAGAAAGGATGTGGGTGTCCTCCGCTGCTACCATCACGGTCTTTCTTTCAAGCATCGTGATGGACTTTCAAGTCATCACGGCATTTTAAGTGTCGTATAACTTTTGAAATTCATCAAGACACTTTAAGTACCGTGATACAGAGGGCCTTCACGGTAATACGACTATCGTGAAGGTTATTTTGGTCAAAAAAGCCTAAAATGAGAAAAAACGGTATGGACGAGGTTTATGAAAGCATGAGGTTTTTTTTTTAAGAAGTCGAAATTAAGGTATATTTCTGATAATTTCCCTTTTTTTACTGTCAAATAAATATAACTCAATCCAAGGGCGGAATAAAGCTTTAACTATGAATTCTAATACAAATAATATTCTTAAAAATTGAAATAAATTGAGCAATATTGACTGAAAATAAACTAAAAACAACTGGGAAGACTTACTTGGCTTTGCCTTGGGTCACCCCTTTAGGGCTTAGTACACCCTACAACCAATTATCTGACTGATGGCACACTCTAATCCTATTAGCCCTGTTGAATTCTCTTAGTCGGAAAGCTCCTTAGTCAATACCCTATTTGATCTAGGGTTTGAGAGCATGAAATAAGAATAGGGTCTCTTAAACACCTTTTAAGACCTTTCTAGGGCATGCCACAAGCCTGCCCCTTTATCGTTTCTGTGGATAGCGTGCCACCCCAAGCTCCCTAGTGTGGTGCATGCCACCCTATTGGGGCTAAAGAGAAGAGAGAGAGAGAGAGAGAGAGACATAGAGAGAGGGGCTTGTTGGCTATATGGTCTTTCAAGGCCTTAAAGCTAACAATCTTTTTCTCAATGGGAGTGCGTGAGAGAATTTGGGTGCTGTGCAAATTGGGTCCCAGATTCATATACTCCGAGTACATGAGACAATGAGTGTATGCGCTTTAAGAGATCAATCTCTCACGAAGGTGTGAGGGTATCCTCCGAGTCAGGGCTATATAGGTGAGGTTGCCACTGTTGAGGATTGATGTATTGTATTCTGAGGAAATAAATCTGTCAAGGTAAAGTCAAAGAGACAACTCCGGAAGGCCGTTAAAATGATTCGATATATCTAGGACTTGATATATATATATATAAGGGTATTTCGGTAATTTGTTCCATATATCTGGGACTCGATATATATTGTTGCGATGGGGGTTTTTTACGGTCAAGGGAAAAATGTAGATTTCTTTGTAATCAGAGAGAATAGAGAGGCGTGAGGAAGAGAGCTATTGTAACCCTATTCTCTATTGCCAGTAAAGAAGCTCTCATCTCCCGTGGACGTAGGCACGTTGCCGAACCACTTATATCTTTGTGTTGTGATTGGTTGTCTCTTTCTTTTGTGTTTGTTTCTTCTTTCTTGTTTTTGTGGATTACTTTTCGTTTCTACAGCCTCATGTTTGATTTGATTGGCCAAGGCTAGGAGAACCAATTAAGAACAATAGAACCCAAGTGTTTTTTGAATGTCGGCCCTGTATGGAATGGTCATGACTTATAAGACATAGGTTTGTACCAAGACAGTAGACTGTTCCATGGTGTATGCATTTATAGTCACATGGGGAGCCACTCTTTTATAATATAATCTGACTTGGAAGATTCAGTGCATATTTTCCTTTGAGAGGACCCATGTATTAGAGTTAATAGTATGCCCCACATGGGTGCACCTGTAATCCATTGAGAAGCCGATGATGGGAAGATCTGGCTCAATGACTTTGATGTGACCAAGGGACCAATTATGTGTCCCTATCATAGGCTGTGGAGCATAGGTCGGTTGGTTCAGCTTAACACACCAATGGAACATCATTCGAGACTAGCCTAATGAAGTACTTCGATAAGTAGTGTTACGCCTAAAGATCTAATTTACCTTTGGTCCCAATTTATTTTTTATGAGAAAATGTGTGTTTGCTGTTAAAAATCGTTCATAGATTTTTTGGGAATTTTTTGAGAATTTTTCGAAATTCAAAGCACGAAAATAGCATTTTTCAAATTTGTTTCACACTAATTCTGAACAAGGACATCTGTGAAGAATGTTACGTGGTACCCGAGTGGCACTTGTTATATTTTGTTATGACTTAAGTGAACTTTTTGTCACATGTCCTTTTTGTTCTCACATGTGACATGCTTGGCATGTGTGAAGCCAAGGAAATTTTGAAAAATAATTTGATTTCAAAATATTATCCACATGGGATTTTTTACATGTGTGAAGAAACCATATAGATTTGTCCTATTGGTGTGAAGCATGTGAATAGAATGGGTTGTTTTATTTTCATTGGCTTTTGTCATAAGATATTTATTCACACATGAGGTTTTTACTAATTACTAAAATGGACATACCCTTGTCCATAAAGTGATATAATGATTTTATTTAAAATCATGGGCAATTAAGGAAACACCATTGTGGACTTAATTGGAATAATTTTATGTGAGATGGACCAAAAAGGTAAAAGGGCTCAACCAAGGGTTTTAAGGGAGTAATAATGATGTCAAATTTGATCCCTACCTCTTCGTGGTTAGATGGGGATGAATAGCTAGGATTATTGCCTCTCATGTGACAGATCTAGAATACCAAGTGCTAAGACCATTTCACACATTACAATTCAGAATAAGTATCACTTAAGGTTCAACTTACCCTAACTTAACAATATCATTTCATACTTAGAGAGACAAAGAGAGAGTCCATTTGACCTCCACGGCCCAGCCAAAGGAGTACCCATTCCTTGAGTTCAAATCATCATGGTGAGCTTATTTCCTTCTTGAAGATTGAATTGGTTCATCACCCTCATCAAGGTATTCACATTTGTCAAGTTCGATTTGTATTATATCACTCTTTGTTCATCAAAAAATTGCTGTAAAGTATAATTTACAGAAGTTTTTTTGCATCTTTAAAACCGTAGTTTTCCTTGATCATTGGGCTTTAATTGAATAATGTAGTCTATACCTTGATCATGTGTAGTGTAGATTGAGTTTTCTTTCATCTACACTTCTTCTCTAGTTTTCTCCATCCGAAATTTTCAGAGCATGTTAGTGAGTTGATACATCTGATTTGTGGTTTTGATTATCATCATTTGAGAAAGAAAGTAGGGTTCGTGAGTACCATTTTGCATATAGAAAAGCTTTGGTGATCCCACGGACTACATTGTGTAGTTTGTTCATACTTTGGTAGTTTTGTGTTGGAACTCTCTCAAACTTTGGAATTCTGATCTCAGACTTATCTCTCTCTGTCTAATTGAACCTTATTAAGTGATATTAAAGTGATTTTAAGCTTCCCAAGTGAAGTGATCTCCTTTAACTTTAAAACCATCCATGTTCTAGACTATGGGACAAGATTAAGTCCCTAAAAGAGCCGTTTGTGATCTGGGCACAAAGGGTTCGACCTTTGGCTTCCCAAATGATTGCTTGCGTGTTTATTTGTTACAATTTACAGTTATTTAATGATTTTACTATAGAGGAATTGAGCATTTTAGTTATGGAACACATTTGTTCTTATGTGTATTTAGTCTATGATTTTATGCCATGTTGATTTATTGGCCACATACCATGCAAGTTGAATTTATATTTGACTCCTCATGATCAAGTATAATATGCATATGATATCTTGTGGTTTTAATGAGGATGAAGATTCGACATGAGGTGATGATGTAATTCCTAAGTGATGAGAAAATTTTGAGTGTGTATGTTGTGTAATGTTGTATACACAAGTGTTTGAGTATTTAAGCAATGTATTGTATTTGGTTGTGTCTAGTTTGGGACATGAAAAGGGACCAATTAGAGTCGTAATTTTCTTTTAAAATTTGTATAAGACAAACTGGCTAGAGTTTGTGATCTATTGTTTTCTTTATGAAGCATTTGTACATTTAAAACCTCATGGTTTCAAAATAATGAAAATTTTTAAATTGAGTTACTAGCTACTTGGTCGTATACCACCACCCTCTATTTATTGCCTCCA